GAGCTCACCCTCTACCTGGAACTATGGAGATTTAGGACTTTTTGAAGCTCTCCATCATGAATTTCTTCAGGGAAGTAGGCTAACTCGATTTTCGTAAATCGGTTTGTCGATGTGACGGCTGACAAGGATGTGGTCGTGGTCTTTACATGAATCGAGCCAAAATCGACACACAAGTTCCTCGTTCATCTTCTGCTCACCTTGGGATCATTTGTGACCAAACTTCAAATTTTTAGGGGTCCGACTCTGCTGTATGCTTTTCAGGGGAGCGCTGTCATAGCCCAAAAATTTGACTCTTAAATCGGCACAAGAGCCAATGCCAAACCTCTACATGCAATAGAAATAGTCCCTCATCTCGCCACACCAGCTTGAAACAAGCCATGTTTCAGCCCACTAGCGGATACTCCAAACGGATTACGCCCAATAGCTCCTACACCAATGATTTAAGCCCATACCATCACTTCTTACAAATGTCGTAAGCCACAGGGTCCGCAGACCGCACCAGACTGCCGTAAATTAGTCAAAATGAGCAAGCCACAGAAACAGGTCATCTTCCTCTTCCTTATTATCGTACTATTACATTTATCCAACATTTGGGGTGTGATCACAAAATTGCTGCAACACTTCTTGCGGCTGAGTAGAGTTTTTTGTCCGACTAACGGACTCATGTCCCTCAGTTGAAATTCTGTTTCGTTGCTCATTTTTCACATAGGTGACGTATGAAAACACTCGCTTCACGAACGCATTGGAGGTAATGCAGCAAAAAATTTACAAGTAATGTAGTAGTCAACCAGTGTCATGAATGAATGAGGACTTCAGAGATCACTGAAATCTTGATGGCACTCCAAAATTCAAAACCACCCAACAGAAACAGTGGAGCTTGCGTAGCAGCGCTTGGTTCGACAACCTCACTCATCAAAGGCCATATCATCACTGATCAGTAATCGATCAAGAATCATAACTGTCGTGCATTTTACTGCATTAAGAACTTTTGTTAAATGTTGAAAATTAGATGAGAGTTATTTCATCAAGCAGTAGTTTCGCGCTTCCAGAAATAACGGGAAAGCTCTAGTCGCGCTGCTCTAAATGGAATCTCATCACACCTACGCTGGGGGAAGTTCAACCATCAGCAGAGGTGGAACTTGAGAAGTTGAGGCAGTATATTTGCGGTAGGTCATAAAATACCAGATTTAGGCAAATGACAAATGTACCAGATCTAAAATATTCATAACACCGTCTGAAAATACCAGATTTGTGAAGCCTGGTATGGAAATGTACGAGTTGGCAATGCTGAGCTCTTTACGAACTAGACAACTCAGGAGTTTACAGCGGTTATCATTAATTAACTAACTATTACTGCTACCGCTAGCGCCGATGGGATGCATGCCAGAGGCCCCAGCATTGCCCAAGACCAGCATATCTTTCATCCTCCTTTCCGTGCGTAAGCCTGCCAAAGGGCAGAGTAGACTAAGGGATTATATGTTAAAAGCCATTATTACAAATCCCCTTCATGGAAATTTACCAGCGAGCTAATGAGAAGTAAGCCACCAATACAATCGCTCTACGCCGTATTGAAAACCGTCCAACAGCTCTATCCCAGGCCGTCTAACCTAATCACGATTTTCGGTAAGCAACTCCCTACGCCATACCACTGTCGATACACAGCCAGCACTCCAGCCCGTCCGTTCGTCGCAGCTGTTTTCCCCGGCATAACTCTACCTCCACGCATACCCCGTCTCCCCGCCTTTTTCAGTAACTGCCGGACGGCTTTTCTTAGTTTCTGCTCACTTGACTGCATTACGCTATGAAAAGAGGATCTATAGGAGTTGTAAACTAACTTAACCTAACCTAATTCGGATAAGCATCAAAGGTCTGCGAGAAAAGTCTCCAGTTAGTCATGCGATAATGGTGGAGAATCGGGGTAAGTGTGGGGGGAAGAAGATGCTGGGGGATAGTAAGGCCGGGAAACAGTGACGCGGGGTTAACGTCTTGCGGATTAAGTAAGGTGATGACGCATTACCGTTTGCTACAGTTCACATTTGCGACAATGCAGTGTGGTCAGCGGACACTTAGGATAACAGCATGTGTAAGAAGTGATGTATGGGTTATAAAGCATTGGAGAACAACGTACTGACCGTTAACTATGTGGAGTAGCAGCTTGTGTGCTGAAGCAGTGTTGGTTTAAAGTTCGTGTGGTGAAATAGGTCAATTGACTACGGCTGCTTAGGTGCCAGGATGACAATATCTATAGCATTTAGATGGTTAATGTTGGCTTCAGGGCTGATTTGAGCGTTAATTTGCTGGTCTACAGCTGCGCACCCGCGCCGATCACGATTCACGACCAGCCACAGTCGCGCAGCTCGAAGGTCCTAACGCAATGTACATGGTGCAACTACACAATGCGTGCTACTTCGTAAATGGAAGTGATTACAGGGTGATACGTTTAAATCCTACGAATGAATAGTTAAAAGCAAGTAATTTTGGGAACGACAGTTTCCTGTCGATCACAGAAAAATCCATCAAGTCTACAGGAACCGTTTTTGGGGAGCGCCTTGGTCCAAAAAAAACTTTTTTATTTACGGACGGATCACTTCGAAATTTAATACACGTATGTAAAACGGAATTCTAAGACTTTTTCGCTCATGTGAATTTTTCGAAACAATGAAAGAAAGCGAGAAATTCTTAGAAAACGGACAGAAAAGGGGTACTGTAGAAATATCCGCGGGCTTAGGATTTTTAAGCTACAACATCAAGACACATATCATTCGATGCGTAAAGATCGTATCTACAAATTTATCTGGGGCGTTTTTTTGAAATTCTCATTTTTGTGGGTGTGGGAGCATTTTTCGGAAATTTTTCGATTTTAACATAACATAACATAGTGATGTCGGCTCTGAAGTGTAGGCCTGATGTGGCCTGTCGCCGATTCTTTTCCATTTCGTGCCTTATTCATAGATCTAAACTCTGTCTCTTATACACATCTAGATGTGTATAAGAGACAGGACCCGGAGTCGCAGAAGTTGCCTGAACAAACTCTTGAAAGCTAAGATTTATCATTTTATGGCATTCTCACTGAAATTAGATTTTTACAATTACCTGGAGCCATTTGTAGTTNGTCCGAAATATTCGCCGCAATCACTGTTTCACGGAGTTTATCATAGTCGCCTTTCGCCATTCTACCCCATTCCACCCTCCCTTTTTGCAGAATAAAATACAAACTAAAACGAAATTAGAAAAACGCCTACAAAATTTGTAGATATTTTCTTTGCAAATCGAATGGTATATGTTTCATTGCTGTAGCTTCGGAACTGTAGGAGGAAATAGGTTTCCAGTGACAATAAGTGTGAATGTTCAGTAGAGCCCGACAAAGTCCCGGGCGCCTCGAAATCGGCATTCAACACGGCAAGGAATGAGACTAGACGATACTGGAGCTTAATTTCTGTCAAGGATGGTATGAGCGACGGCGCAATAACCACCCCGTACGACTGCAGCAAGGTTCCTGGAACTGAGTGTCTGTAGACAAGTGATTTATAGTGCACTGTGTGAACTATTCCCTATCTTAAATGTGAAAGAACTCCCCCACCCCCTCCCTTTCGGGATCTGTCGTGAACGCATAAATCAACGTTCAGAGATGGTTTTGGTAACGTTGGATAGGTCAGAATGTCAGATTTAAGATGAGACTAATTACAGGAAAAGTCAAAATTATCGATTTTGGACAAAGACGCTCCCCTTAAGAGTTTCGGTGAAAAATATAGAAGTATAAGGTTTTTTATTTGACATATCCGCGTCCAGCTCCAAGAACATCGAAAAAACGTGAACGAGGTGCAGAGTGGAGAGGCGCTGCTGAAGCGGGACAGCAAGGAGGTCAAGGAGCTGAAGCAAGTTAACATGAGGCAACGTCAGATGATCAAGGAGCTGCTCGATCGCCTGTCCAACAAGGCCGACGATTTATTGCAGGATAAATTCTGTCACTCTGGCGTAGTTAATATCATTACCGCGCAAGTGAGGTTCTGAATTTCGAGTGGTCTTTTGAGGGCTCGTCCAACCACTCTAGATTTATACTCGAGAACCCCGCACAACATTATCCATCTCTCTCGAGTCTTTATTCTTGTTCATTTCTTGCGATGGAAAGTTTACCATAGAATCGTTCACTATTCCTGCAGGTTGAGCAAATGGCCGAGGATTCGAAGATCAAAGTGCGCAAGCTTAATGTCTCGGACAAATTTACGGCCGGACTCGCGGCCAGTCTCACAGCCAAAATTCAATGACAAATTTACGATTTTGCCTTCGTTCGTGAGTTAAACGGAGGAACTACCGGCATTTCTGAGGCCGATTTTTATATTTGCATTGACCGAGAGCTACATACTTATAGCCGTATAACTCGCAAACAAGCAATTCAAAGTCGGCAAGGCCACACGAAACGATTACGACATAGCCAGTCAGAGATGGAGCAGGTGTGGACTGAATGACTTCATTAATAAAGATCGCCCGAAGTTGCGGTTGTATAACTTGTATTCAACAACATTCGTGCACACTCCATTTGCGCAGCAAGAAATAGAAGACATAAACGAAATTTGTGCAATGTATAACAGCGAAGAAAGTATATGAAAGGGATAAGATGCGCTTGATTGACAAATTTAATCAGAACCGACGAAATTTATTTTGTTAATAAATAAGTCACATTTGGCTTATAATTTTCCGTAAATTTCATTCATCAATACTATATGATTTTTACTTTATTATATTCAGACTATCCAAATCTGAATTGTTTATTGAATCATACGAAATAAATAAATTGTATCACACAAATGCATTTATGATAATAGTTATGGAAGTCCGTTATAGAATATAATTTGCATGTCATTTCGACTATAATGATATCTCTTAGAGAAGTGTGCAACTTGTTTCAGGTAGTGGAGGAGATTCATCATTTCAAAACTATATTCATCTTGTAATTAACATTTTAAAATTACATTGCACTTTTCTGGAACTTTTGCAGCAGCATCTGCATATTGAACAGTACCGACTAAAAATGGCTAGCCGGAGGATCGGGTTCATAGAAAAGCTAGCTGCTAGATCCTTTCAGGTTTGTGTGTTATACTTTCGTTTCTTTTTTTTAACATATAGTGCTTCATCTAAAATCATTAATGAAATTCATTTCTTATTGTTTTAAACTATTCTTTAACCACGTTACTTACAAGTTACAAATCCGAAGTAGGTACTATTATTTAGCGATTCATTACATATTTGTTAGTTGAAACTTGAAAAGCTTCTTACCTATATCATTGCCGGTGTTTTGCTGACTGTCTGAATCAGCAGCACTGCAGCAGCTTCTACTTGCCTACTCATGAAAAATTATTAGTGTATTATAAAACTATCATGGAGACATTTTTTCATGGGGCAAAGTATATATTTTAATATATTTAGTTTACTCGTTACTCCACTTTTTTCATGTCATTGAATAAAATGATAATATAGTGATTAGGTTAGGTAAAATAACTTTCTTCAAAACTGTCTAAATGTTACACAGTTACAACGTCAGACCCTCAGTCATCCTACACTTACACTACAGGCTACAGCTAGGTCCTAGGTGGCAAAGAACTAAGACTTAAGAGTAAGAGACTAAAGAGAGTAAGGAGTAGCTAAGTCTTAGGTTGCCCTTTGGCCCCTTCCCCAAGACAGTGCCCAAGTTCATTTCTGTATCCTATTGGCTAATAGTAATACTAATGGCTAATGGTATTGGTAATAGTAAAGTAGGCTAGTACCTAAGGAGTAAGGAATAAGGATCTTGAATATCAGCATTATCATGTTTCATGTCATCATCATATCATGTGTAATAAATTGATTAAAATATTGAGTAGCCTAGATGAGGAACTTACATTGAAAATGAACTGATTCTGAAAAATCTCTGGTAACTGGATTGGCACTAATAGTAGTGACTGACTGAGTCAGACTGACTGACTGACTGGTGAAGGTGCAATGCAGAGTTTGTACAATACTTCTCTTTGAATTCTCTTCTTGTTGTCTGCTACAAATCTCAAAATCAATATTTAACACACTTCCAATTGTTCAATCAATCTGAAATTTTGCACACATGCGTAAAATTGGGGTCAATGCTTGAATCAATGGACAGCATAAATAATTGAATAAAAAAGATTTCAATATAAAAAAGTAGGTAGGGTAGACGCGGTATATTCCGACATCGTAGGTAATTCCGTCACTTCTCTAGTTTTTCCTTTATATTAAGCTTTGTTTTAGTTCCATGCGTTCATTGATGGTTGAAATGGTGACGTCATACATTTGCATGTTGAAATACTGCAAAAACACTAGGTCTTGGCCATCTAGCGGGAAAATATTGAGATCCAAAGAGAGACAATGCATGCCACGTGGTGAGATCATTGAAAAATGTGTCAAATTTGACAGTTGACATGGCTCTACCAAATAGTGAATAACTGTTTTTATAGGAAGAATATTATGGTTTGAGACTTTTAAATACGTCTGTGAATATACTAGGAATCCTTTAAGTATACTTGTATTCGCTGATTTCAAGTCGTAAATAAATTAATAGATGATTAAGTTAAGATGTTGGATTTCAACACATGAAAACTAATTCCGACACAACTTGAATTGGACACACACAGATCGTTCAAAGCTTTGTACAAAAACTGAAATTTGCTTAATTAAAAGCCTAATAGCTGTTAATTAAAACGTAATTAAGTAGTGTTCAATATTCATTAGTGTTCTAATTCAAAGCCGTGTTGTATCCCAATACAGCTCACACAGCAAACGGAATTCGAACACGTGGATGTCGGCAATACGTATCAGTTAAATTCGAAGCGCTGACGCAATACGACTCACCACGTGTCGGATGTTGCCACACAAAGTGACGGAACATAGGGATTTGGTAGGTTTCCATTCTAAAGGCTTTTTAATAAATATGGCAACATTTTGTGACGTTTCATCGTTGCTGACGCGTAGTGAAGTGTTTTGAGAGTCGTGTGAAGGCAACAGAACTTACGTAACGCATTCATTTTTTTTTTTAATAGTTTTTCATTTCTCGATGCGTCCTTAAAGTGTTGGAATATACCGGGTTTACCCTATATTTTTTTAATCCTATCTACAAATAAAATTAGGAAATCGTTGTACATTTGTAACATCAGAGACGAAGGCATTTTAGAGTGTTGTCTTTAAAAATTAATTTTTAAATGCATTTTTTTAGATTGTTCCTGAAGCTGAACAGGAGTTCAATTTTGAGTCCTATAAGTAGACCAGCCTGACCAGGTAAGTATCATGGATACCAGCATTATCATATTTACAGTTTAAAACATAAATATTGGTGTAAATCTTCAGTAAATGAAGAAATTATAAATAAACATTCTAAAATATACTCCGGTTTGCTACTAACCTACAATGACCCATTGACCCTACAGGTGAGGAGACAAACTGAGTTACTTCTCAATTCTGTTGCTGAGCGCAGGATTGAATTTTTTTTATTGTCACATAGTGGCTAATGTGATGCTTTTTTTGAGGACCTTTCTTTTGTGTTATTATATTTTCTTTTACCTGCAATTCTTCCAAAATTCTGGTAAAAGCTATCATGGTACAAATCATTTAAAAACTGCAGGCGAAAATGTTTCATTTTTCTTATTTTTTATGAAAAAAATGGGCAACAGCCAACTCAAGCACAGGTGTTTCTGGTTTAATCTTTGGTGACTTCTGCCTTATTTTATAGAATAGGTTGGTGCTAGGTGCAGTTGGAATTGAAAAAAGACTGGGTCACCCATCACTGGGTGACTAGAAAAATTCTGCAGAAGCCCACTATGAATGGTACAAAGAGGCCTGTGAATCTAGCCAATTTTACCCATTCCTGTGACTTTCTCCTAATTTTTTTCAGTAAAAAGTAACAAATTGTTCATTTTTATACATATTTTTAAAAAAAATGTGAAACAATCTTTTTTACCAGTGATATTAGGAAACTTATGCCCCATATTCCAAATTGGCTTGGTGAGAATGAAATGTCCAGTGAAAGATTTTTCTTGTCTGAAATTTCCTTATTCAAGGTTTTCTGTACAGTAGGGGTCTTGTCTTGGAGAGCCTATGAATGCTAATTCATTGTTCACTTTCTCTGTAGGCAGTGGGGAATTTGAGAAGGATAATAATATAATATATGTATACTGCTAAATTGATTACTCTACTGTCTACATCATTTCTATGCTTTCTGGCTGCATAATTAAATTTCCAAATATAATACTATTATACTAATTAATTGCCATGAGTTTGCGAATGCATTGATTATAATTTTTCTACAATTTTTTTGCATTGCAGGCAAGCTTGGGTTCAAATCCTCATCATGTAGCTCAACTGCCACGATTTGCTGCATGCACGTTGCCAGAGGTGCAGCAGCGGAGATACCTCAATGTGCATGAGCATGTCAGCTTCTCAGTGTTGCAGAAGAACAACATCCCAGTTCCTGGCTTTGGTGTGGCTTCCACTGAAGAAGAGGCTAGGGAGATAGCTACCTCTCTTGACTCAACTGATGTTGTAGTCAAGGCACAGGTGAGTAAGAAGAAAACTTTTATTATTCCATGACAGGAAATGCTCATTGTTATCAATGAATATGACAAGTTTTTAATAGTATTCCTGAGCTTTTGATTCTTAAGACTGAAATTGTGATGCTTATATTTGAGGAGCAGAGGTTCAAAATAAGTAATTGTGTTAGAACAGTAGAACTCTTGCTTGCAAGTCAGGTAAGAGAAATTCTGTAGTCTAGCAGGAGGTATGGGACATTAAGCAATGAACAGGACAGTTTCCAGTCTATACACACAAAATATTCAACACTTCTTGTGGGTTAGTTGATAATAGTTTAGGATTGATGTATGTTTATCTGATTATCAATGTCATTAATTGCAGAAGTACTTACTTTTCATTTTAGATAGGTAGTTATTTTAGCTGGTGTTTTTTCCAGGATTATATATTACATTGCTTCATGAGTTTATTTGTTTGCACAAGTGTATTATTTGTATCAGGTGCTTGCTGGAGGCCGTGGCAAAGGCTATTTCAAGGGAGGCCTGAAGGGTGGTGTGAAGCTTGTCTTCAGGTGAGTCTAGAGGTTTAATTGTGATTCATGTCTTAATCTTGTTCTGCACTCATGATGACACTCAAAAGGCCGAATTTAATGCCAGCTGGCGCTCCTCTGCGTGAGTTGCAGTGCCCTGGCTGTATGATAATACCCCTGGAAGCTCTGCTGAGGAGTGCGTGTCATTTTCATCAATTGAAATTAATTGTGTCTTGTGTGTTATAATGTTCATCATTTTAAATTACTCGATCAGTTGCTTATGAAGTTCAAATTTGCCAACCCTGCTTCAAAGCAAGTTGTCAAAAGTTTTTATAAGAATAAATTATCTATATTTAATATTGTGATTAATTTGTCTACTATTGTTATTCAATGTCTAATTTTATGGCTCAGTGCTGATGAGGCTGCTGCTGTTGCTGGTCAGATGATTGGAGACATGCTGGTGACAAAACAGACAGGCAAGAAGGGCATCCCGTGCAACAAGGTGCTTGTCTGTGAAAGAAAGTTCCCACGTCGAGAGTTCTACATTGCCATCATGCTTGAGCGGGCATTTGGGGTATGTATTTCCTACATAGTTGGTTACAATCCTTAAATGCTTAAACAAATTTTATGATTCGGAATGTTGTGCATTTAGTGAATATTTGTCAAAAAATAAATGTAGAAAATAATCCATGTATGGAAATAATATAGAATTAATCTGGTATATTAATCTAGTAACTTGTGCAGAATCATTTACGATAAAAAAATATATAACCTCCCTTTTAAAGTAATACATGCTAGAAAGGCAATCTTTATTGAACAATATCCCCCTTTTGCGCATTCAACTTCTTCTAATCTTATTGACACGCACTCATGATGACACTCAAAAGGCCGAATTTAATGCCGGCTGGCCCTCCTCTCCACGAGTTGCAGTGCCCTGGCTATATGATAATACCCCTGGAAGCTCTGCTGAGGAGTGCGTGTCTTGTTCTTAACCTTACTTTAATGGGTAATAATTCTGCGCCTATCAGGCGTGGGTTCACTGGCTGTACTAAATAAAAGGCTGGTAGTTGCCGATTTCTAGTTTGTGAAAGGTTTAGCCTGAAGAGCCATCAGTGAGTGACTGACGGAATTCCTTACTCACAATTCATTTTGATATTTATAGCCCTGGGTGTTGCTGCTTATTTGACAATTTACTAATGGCCGTCATATCACGCACTTCTCAGGGGCCTGTGATCATCGCTTCGGCTCAGGGCGGCATCAACATAGAAGAAGTTGCTGCTGAAGATCCTGATGCCATTTTCAAATTCCCTGTCGATATTGTAGAAGGTGAATACATTTTGTATGTACGTTCATTTTTTACAAACTCGTAGGGCATTCCTGGTGGTTAAGCTCCATTGCCATGATGTAGATAGGCTTCAAATGTTATGGAAGTCAACTCTCTGTGGAGAATGGAAAAAAAGCTGGCTCAATTTGATATTTGTTCTAGTTATGTTGAGAAACTTTGTACCGAGATCATTCCTAATATTTTTTTTTTAATCGAATCATTTGATCAGTCTTTCTGCATTACGGTATTTTTAATTTTGATTGCGAGATGCAAGATCGATTTTTATCTTGATTTTAAATTTACATCTTGCTTATTACATGAGCAGGTATTACGGACGAAATCGCTGAAAACATTGCCAAAAAACTAGGACTGGAGAATCGTATGGCAGAAACGGTCGCCGTTATCAAGAATCTTTACAATGCTTTTATCACTCACGATGCTTCTATGATTGAAATCAACCCATATGCCGAAGACACATATGGCAAAAGTAAGGCAATACGTACATATAACAATCTAATTGTTTCAATTATTACTGCCAAAAATGGGCGCCATGTTATTCTTATTTTATGGCGAATTGCTCTCAGCTTCCTTCATTAGTGAAGTTTGTTTTCTGAAGCCTGACATAAGAAATTAAATGATGATTTATTTCTTACAGCAAAAATGATTTTTTCTCATGGTAGCCTAAAATTTCTTTGAGTACAGAGTTTTTTCCTGTACTATTTTGGTAATTGCTTCAATAAGTGATCTTTCTCGTACCCTAAAATGCATCTTTTTCAGTGTACGCACTTGATGCCAAGATGCGTTTTGACGACAACGCCTGGTTCCGTCAGGAGGAGATTTTCAGCCAGCGGGATGACTCTCAGGAGGATGCCAAGGAGGTTGAGGCGGCCAAATATAACCTTAATTACATTGCTCTGGACGGTGCGTGGTCTAGACTTCTGTTCACTTGCAATCACAGCTCAAATTATGCTTGTTTAGTTGCCTTTCTTTTTGGAATCAAGCCCGAGGAATCAATAACGTTTAAGCTTGAAAACCTGAGCCCTGTGTTACTATGAGCAAGGTCAAACGCTGCAATGTTTGTCTCGTATTTCATGTGATAAGAGTGACTCTGATAATTTTTTGGCCGATAACTACTCCATCAGTTGTGTGTACAGAAATCTCTAGTTGCTCTTGTTCTTATGATGTATTCAAGAGTTGGGTTGTTTGCAGGTAGTATTGGATGTCTTGTGAACGGCGCTGGTCTGGCCATGGCCACGATGGATATCATCAAGCTGCACGGCGGCGCTCCCGCTAATTTTTTGGACGTTGGCGGCGGTGCCTCAGCCGAGCAGGTCAAAGAAGCTTTCAAAATCATCACCGCAGACCCTCAGGTGTGTTAACTGGCCATTACAGCATAGTAAAGTATGTAGTGACATTTCTTAGTTGAAATCAAGCTTCTGTGTCATAGTATTTACGCTTTAGCGGCATTACTTTTTCTATGCTCCTATTTTAGTACTTTTAGTGAACTGCTACTGAAGAAGGATATTATAACCACAAATGAAAATACTGGAAATTTTTTGATCGGACATTGAAAACTCTTCATTCTCATGATTGTTTCTTTGCATCTCATAAAGATCCTGGAAATTTTGAATTCATTTACTTACACCGATTGGCGCCTTAACAAAATCTCGCTAAACATATTTTATTTAATGATCTCTCTCAGGTTCATGCCATTATGGTGAACATCTTCGGGGGCATCATGCGCTGTGACGTGATCGCCCAAGGCGTCATTGCGGCGGCAGAGGAGCTGTCCCTGAAGATCCCGATAGTGGTGCGCCTGCAGGGCACCAACGTGGACGACGCCAAGGCGCTCATTGCGCTCTCTAACCTGCGCATCCTGGCCTGCGACAACCTCGATGATGCCGCCAAGATGGCAGTCAAGCTCGCCCAAATTATTACCATGGCTAAGAGTGCCAACATCGATGTCAATTTTGAAATACCTGTTTGAATGCTCGTGCTAGATTGCCTAAAAGGTTCACAAACGGCGGTGATATTGACATCAATCAATCTAAAATTCATAATTTATCATAGTCAACTCAAAGGAATAATTTTTTTTGGCATATTTTTGAATTCTTGTTTTAAACTGAGAATAAATGTTCGAAGATAAATTGAAGCCCAGGCGAGATTAAGAAAATTACTATTTTGATTCATCCAAGTTTACCAGGTTGCCCTCAACGTTGATGGCATGATGAGTGAATATTTAAGGCTTCATGAACAACAACGCAGAACTTGAAGGTGTTTTTCTTTCCACCGGACACGTCGGTGATTTGCCAAGCAAATGCTGACCTTTGTTAACATTTAACACTAGAACAATTTATTGCATTGCGTTTCGTTTTTTTCGTTCTCGTGTGTGCTTCTGGTTAAATGATTTTTATTAGTTTGAAAAGACATAGAAAATATTTGAAACGCTTGTTTATATTTTTGCATTTTATCATTAATGAATACGCAAATTTGAAAAACTTTTGGAGAAATCTATTCGGATGTACTGGGTTCAAAATCGAAAGAAAATTTATTTTACTCTGTAAGAAAATACTTTTTTTAAATTGTAAGTATTTATTTATTCTTATGTTATGCTTCCAGTTCATTTATTTTGAATCATTTTTGATCGCAAAATTACTCAATTGTTGTAAATGCAGTAACGTCTTACAATTCCTCCTGTCATTAAATATCCTGAAGGACTTTAAAATTTAACCAAATATACTGAAATATTGGTAGAATTTTGATTTTCGATTTCTAGAGTATCAAGAAGGGTTATGCAGAGGTATATTTATGCTCTTATTTTGTTGTCTTCTCATCAATGTAAATTTTTTCGGGGGTCTCCTTGTTTCTCGGGGACTGAATGTTGTGCTTTTGTATATTGTGTATAGAGAGAGGAGAGCTGGAAATGATTGGCTCTTGAGGGAAGCTCCTGCGCTGGTTTGTTCAGGATCTCCTCTATAAATTTTCCGTCTCTATATCCTTCTTTTACTTACCGAAGTTTGAGGAAATAATATTGTAGAGCTAGTATATCTCTAGATGAATCGACGTCTTCGGTGTTTGTGGAATAATCGATTTTACTCTTTTGGCTAAGAGACAATGAAAGCAAAAGCCTTTCCATACGGCATTTCAGTGAAATGGATAGTTTCTTTTGTAATCTTGAAGTCCTAATCCTTGTAAATTTTGAAAATTGCTGATGAATATCGACAGGAAAACGCTCACGGGTGTAGCGCGACCGATACTCCATTGACGATAGATTAGCACAAAATGTTACGTAGTTGCTCAACACGTTTTCCCACGAAGCACATTATTTGATTTATATTTCGTACTCGTTCAAGCTCGGTGTTTAAATCGTTTATTTCGTATATTATGAGATTTAGGCCGGGCAAGAATTTCTTGTATTGCGTTGCTCATCGCGGTTTTGGACGCGTGTCCGCAAACGATTTTTTATCATTTGCCGAAGTTAATTTCAGCGATAATTTTGTACAAATCAACTTGTTTATTTATGGCGATGACGCGACAGATTTAATAATGAATTTTGACTTCGTGCCTTGTTTGAATTGTGAAGAGGTTCAAAATAAGTTTAATTTGTAGTAATCCGTAATTATCCGAATTTATCGAAAACTACCATCCCTCGAAAATAACACCACTGAAATGATTGATATTCTAGGACTTTCTAACCTGTTTGTACAGCTTGACTATAGAAGGATCATTTAAAACAGACAAAAACGCGTATTATAGAAAAAATGCACAGCATATCGGATTATTAATAATTTAGATTATTTTCACCAAGTAAACTCGGATGATTTTAGCGCGTTTGGCTAGGAGAGAACAATAGCAAGAAACTTTAGGTAAAGATTTTTACAACAGCTGCCATCGGTCTACTCACGTCTCTGCAATAGCTTATAAACTTGTAGTTGTTTGTTTTGATGATGAACTCAGTTTTGACGGGGACGAGTAATGACTTCAACTCAAGTATCTTGTTCGTGATTTTTAAAAACCTGTAAATTAAAGATTGCGAGGACTTGCTGAACTGTTTATAAATTATAAATGGTGAGTAATGATAATTGGTCTTTGATGTCTGTAGCAAGCGCCTGGCTTCCTGACAACAGTTGTCTTATAACATAACATAACATAGTGATGTCGGCGCTGGAGATGACTCATTCCATTGCACGATGTTTGAATGCAATGACATAGGTTGAATTATATTGCTGATGAGAGATCACTCGTCAGCAAACCGAGTAGTTTCTTCTCCCGAAATTCCTATGATGAAAAATTAGCTCGTCCAAAACAATAGTGCCGTTTTGATAAAATAAGTGAAATGCGCGTTTAGTTTTGTTTAAAATTTTATATCGTAACCGCATTTCTGGCCGGTTCGACTGCACAGCGCAATAATATGTTTATACGTATTCGCACTAACATTTGCATCCGTATAGAATAGAAGAGTCGGCACTCAAGAAATAGGCCCATGGCCTGTTCTTGTACTTTTCGTGACTTGATTCCATAAGGGATCCGGCCTTTTGAACCCGATCTTTCCATAACTAACGATTGTTTGAGATAGCTGCTGGACTTATAGCCAGGTCCGTAAGGTGTTAGTCATTTCAAGACTGAACATATGCTCCTGCATAGCTTCGTCTAGTCTGTTCTTGAAAGCGTTCATACTCGTGGCGTCAACGATGCTGTCAGAGAGGCTGTTCCACATGTCGGTGACTCGAAGCGAGAAGATATGTTGTGACATGGATGTGTTACAACGCAGTTTTTTTAGTTTATAGCTGTGGCCCCTGATATTGGTTCTTGTTTCAAATTCTTGGACTCCTTCTGGGACTTTGTATAAACCGTGGGTGTACTTGTATACTTCAGTGAGGTCACCACGAAGACATCGATAACAGAGGCGCTTGGAAGCTTCATATTCTTTAATTTTTCTTCATGAGGCTTACCTTTTAATCCCGGAATTATCCTTGTTGCACGTCTTTGAACACTATATAATAAATTTTTGTCTTCTAGTTTTGGTGACCACAAGGCGTTTCCAAACTCTAGGTTCGGACGCAAGACAGCGACAAACAACAGCTTCATCGTTTCTGCATTTATGTACTCGTAAGAGCGTCTGACCAGTTCAAGTCGTTTATTGGCTATATTAACTTGAGCTGCAATATGCTTAGAAATTTTCAACTCTTTATTGACATCAACTCATAAATCTTTTTCCATTGTCGACTTCGACATCATCACTCTTTAGTTGCAACCATGTCTTCTCATACTGTAATCTTGGTGTTCATTGTTCTTGCCAAGGTGGATTACTTTACACTGCCGCGTATCAACCCAGTCAACTAACATGTCAAAATTACCTTGCAACTGTACTTTTGCAACGAATTCTTCACTGTATTATAAACTTTTGTGTCGTCAACATACATCGAGCACACGCTAGATACAACTTCTGGCAGATCGTTTATAAACGCAACGATTAAAACAGGCCCGATAACGCTTCCTAGTGGCGCGCCGCTGCGCACTGAAGCCCAGTCTGATATTTTCTTTTCCCAATACTGACACGTCGTCTCCCTACTAGAAAATCTCTGATCCATTTGAGTACATTACTCTCAATTCCCAAAGACTTCAATTTACGCAACAGCCGCTCACGTGAGACACCGTCAAATGCCCTTGCAAAATCGACGTACACTGTATCTACTGGCTCCTTTTCGTCCAGCAGGCGGGTCCATTCATTCAAAGTAGACAAGAGATTAGTGGTGCAGGATCTACCGGCGATAAAGCCATGTTGACAGTTTGATAGGAGATTATTAACAGTCAAATGATCGATCAATCTATCCCTCACAATAGATTCCATTACCTTGCAAATGACACCAAACTCTAGGTTCAGATTCAATTCAACCTATTCAAACTGAAAGGGCGATAGTTGCCCGGGCAGCTTTTGCCACCTTTTTTGAACACTGGTGTCACTTGAGCTTCTTTCCAGTCAGCCGGCAAGATTCCTTCGTTCAAATTTTTTAGAAAAAATGACGTAAAAGGGCCGGCAAGGACGGTTGCTAACACTTCGAGTAATCTGTTGTGGAAGCCGTCCGGTCCGCATGACTTGTTGCGATTAGGAGCGACCAGGCGCTTGAGAACCTCTTCTTGTATTTCAAAACTTGTTAATTTGAGCCGACTGGGCGCTCCTCAATAGCTGGAATACTGATCAAGTCATCTTCAGTGAATACGCTACTAAAATAATTGATTAAGAACGTTGGCCTTGCCCTCATCAGAGGACATCTTCGGTTGATCTACTTTCAAATCAGAGATACCACCATTTGTCTTGCTTTTCGAGCTAGCTCACGAAAAGAAGGCTTTCGGGTTCTTTTTTGCATTCTTGGCAATAATATGGCTATAGTATTGATCGCAGCGTAATGACATGACGTGGCAGCTGCGGTTTAATGCTGACAAGTGTAAAGTACTTCACCTCGGGAAGAACAATGAACAGCAAGATTACAGTATGAGAAGACATGGTTGCAGATTTGAAATGCCTAGCTCCTTATCGAACCCGGTGGAAGTCTAGTAGCTACTTCAAACTATCGCCAGTCATGAAAAGATCCGATCAAATGATACGAGTTTAGATATGTATATGAACAAGGCACGAAAAGGAAAAGAATCGGCGACAGGCCACATCAGGCCTACATTTCAGCGCCGACATCATTATGTTATGTTATGTTATGTTATGACTCGTTAGTATCAAATGCTCGTCCAAAGTATGAAAGTAGCTTAGAACTAATGAATAAGTTCGTAATTAAAATTTTCTAGCACAGCACCCAAACAAAGACTAATATTGATCGCACGAATGTCATTCATGAAAGCAGAGGCAGGCCAGCATATTTTGTCACTCCGAAATGAAGAATTCGAAAGAATTTGACCGTAACATAATGCCATGTAAATTGAGGTTACCCGTTTTATGGGCATATACCAGAAAATATGTTATGTAAATTAGGAAAAAATAGTGCCTCATATTTGTTTTTACATTAATATGAATAACCTATACTGCTTCCTATTGTTTATAGTGTGTGTTTTTCTACACATTATCTACAGTTTCCAT